TATCAATCGCTTCAAAATCGAATTTCAGACATGATTAAAATACTGTAACCTATTTACATAGACAGTAAGTAAACCTGATGAGCTAGTATTTGCATAATACATTATTCTCTGTTGACATTTGTTATTGGATGGCACAGTAGGGGTTTTACGTGGGTTGTGTCAAGAAAAACATGTTGCTTCTTGCATAAATATTCATCCCTTTAACTTAAAATACTAATATTATAACATCAACTTATATTAATAATAATAATAGTAATCATTATTCTAAAAAAATAAACTCACCAAGCTAGGCTATAGAAGTAAAGAGCACCAGAAAAGGGGGGAGAGAGGGGAAATCACAAATAATACAATTAAAACCTAACCTTTATTAAAACTCTAAGGGCAATAAAAACATGCATAACAAGTGTTTCAGTGCAAGAAAGATGAACAAATGCAGGGGATCTGTAGAAGTCCACAATCCATTAACTTCAGAGTAATACTCATTCAAATGAAAAAGTTAATAACTCCCTATATGCCAATTTCATCAAGTAAGTAGTAGTGTAGCTATGTAAGAAATAAGAGGCTAAACCGTATCTCTTGTAAAGGAGGAAAGTCGTCCTATTGTCTCAATATATAAGTGTGAACTATACGGACTAGTGCACTTAATAAAGATAAGGCAAAAACCAGTGCAAACATAAATCACTGTTTTGGCAGCGTATCCCCTAATAATGAACCCAATAGTCTAATCTGTTACCAACATCTCAGCGTAGCTTCCAAAAGTACAGAAAAACTCCTGTGTACTATAAGCACTGAGGGAGTGCCACACTCGATTTAGCTATAATAATAAATGGAACTAAAAATGAGTAAATAACAGAGCTGCTAATAAACATAGGTTACGAATCGAAATCCCCCAAATAACTTTCCCTAATTACCTCGGTACCGCAGATTTCTTCTCTAGTACCTACCAAGACCTACTATCCCTCAGTCAAGAACAAAAACTACTTAGTTAAGTAAATCAAACATGCTACACATGGTGAGTAATAATCATTATTATTATTAAATTAATTTGTTCCTTTTTTCTGTTTCTTCAGTCTTGGCTGGATCTCTCCGTCTTCTGCAACCTACTAGTTGCTTATTCGGTTTCTTCTTGGACTGTCTTCCTCACCCAATATTGTGCAGCCTTTTTCTAGGCATTATTATGGGGATAGTCATGCCATATTTCTTAATAATGCATTAAAAGTTGCTTCAGAAATATTTTACATAACTCAGCCCTGATTGATGCCTCTTCGAAATGTTTTTTTTGGCCACCTCCTTAGAAATGTCTAGCATTCAAGACGTTATGCATTTGGATATGAACTTCTTGTCTAGAAATTGGTGCATTTTATATGAAAACATGACATTATTCTGGAGATAGGTTTGTTTATTATTGAAGTAACCCACGTGGGTTTACCATTATTTAACTCATGCTGCTTGGTCCAAGCATCCTATATTGGACCAACATCCATGGGCATCCCCAGCTTAACATTGTGCAATTTATACGCTATGGGTCACATGTGGACGTGTTGCTTCAAGGTTCGGAATGCTCATAAAGTTAAGTATGACCACTAGAGCAGGTGACTTCTTTGTGGAGGCAACTGGTGTCCAAGGAGTCACACAAACTTGACGATGGGCTCTCCCACTGCATACCCTGTATTTTATTTAACTAAAACTCCTAAACACACAAGGTCAAACTGCATCAAGATTGCAAGTGAAGATATAAGGATTCTAGTTGGTTTTTTCCAAGATGTTTCAAGTTTGATAGTCTATGCATGGGCCTGCTCTTCGCTACAAGAAATTCCATTTACAGTTATTCTTCAAAAACAACTCTAATTTACTAATATTTAAAGCCTGGATAACAACCTTGCTTAGAATGTGATTTTTGCCCCAAAAGGTATAGGCAAGTAATCTTGTTAAACTCATGGGCCTTCTATTGACGTGTAAATATTTGTAAAATTGCAATATATGTTAAAGGATAAAATCACTTAAAGCGGCACTGTCATGCCGAAACCCGTTTTTTTTTTAACCCCCCTCCCGCCTCCACTACATCCAATTGACCCACTAGTCACCCCCAAATGCCCCTAAGCCCCCCACATTACCTATTTTTAAATCCTTATTTTCTGCCCCGATCTATATCCAGGGCGTCGCCATCTTTGTGTGGGTAGGTGAAGTCCCTGTGGGACACGTCATCAGCCCACACTAGACAGACTGTGAGATTCCCGCACATGCCCAGTGAAACACCTG